TCCCCTAACCCCCAATCACCATCTCCCCCCTCCCTCCCCCCCCCACACACGAGGCCCACCTCCGCTCCTTGTACTCCTGCCGTTCAATGTACTTGATCATGTTGGCTGCCGTATCTGATGCCCCGAGAAAACCCAGTGCCGCCACGATGCGGTCCCTCCAGGGAACGCTGGACGGCACCCGGCTCTTCAGTACGGCGGCTAAACCCCCACGGAGGGCGTTACCCACTGACACGTCAGCACCGGTGCAGTGCGCGGCGGCGGGGGAGTTGGATGCCAGGAAACCGCCCTGCGGCCGTATGTATGTATGTATGTATGTATGTATGTATGTATGTATGTATGTATGTATGTATGTATGTATGTATGTATGTATGTATGTATGTATGTATGTATGTATGTATGTATGTATGTATTTGCGTGAGGGGTGTGTGTGTGTGTGAGGGGGTGGGGTGGGGTAAGATGAACCACTGGCGAACGGGGGAAGATGGGGGTTTTCAGGGGGAAGAGAATGGTATGCTTGAAGTTAAATACACCTTGCTTCGCCCAAACAAATGGCGCGACTGCCCTTAGTCGTTCCAGAAGCCTAGGAAGCCCTATAGACCAAGAAGTCTACTGGCAATGGCGTGTCGTGTACCGGTCGTACTGGTCGTACAAGTCGTCGTCGGCGGCGGCGCAGGAAGGGGGCATGGACTGGAGTAGGGTGGTAAAGGAGTGCGGCTTCTGGGCCTTACTCTCCCCCTGTCCCCCTGTCGCGCCCCTGCCGTACCGGCCCCCCGGGTTCACTTCCCTTCCACCCCCCTGATCCCCCTGACCCCCCATCACCCACACCGGCTTCCCCCACCCTCTCCCTCCTTCCCCACCCTAACAAAAACAAAACCTCGTCCATAACTCTCCTAAAGCCCCCTCCCCCACCCCCACCCACCCCCACTCCCACCTCCTTAGCAAGCGCCATGAGACATGGCAGCAGCTTGCCCATGAGGTTGGGTCGGGCGACGGTGATGCCCCAGGCTGCGGAGATGTGCGCGATGAGGCGGGCGGGCGGCTGCTCCAGCGCCGTGGCGGGTCGGAGGGGCTCCAAGAGCCAACGCAGCTGCGGATCGGCGTCCCCAGCGAGACGGGCTGCGTCGGGCAGTCGGAGCTTGTTCACGAGCGTCTCAGGTACACCTGGTCGGTGGTGACGGTGAGGGTGGGGGTAGAGGGTAAGGGGTCGGGAGTTCATCATCTGGGGGTGGCGGTGGCGGTGGTGGTGGCGGTGGTGACCACGACGGAAGGGCGGGGGGCACAAGGAGGTCAAGAGGGTCGATGACTGCCTACACACAGGCTGGACGCACCGACTGCTGCGGCAGTTCACAAAATTTGGGATGAGGATTGGGGGTGGTTCAATTGTAATGGGGGGAGAGGAATGGAGGGTGGACACAATCTCCCTAACCAGCTGTTCGCAACGCCACAGCGCGGCCGGAGCAAGGAGCGCAGCGGCGGCCGTACTGCAGGCGTGCAGCACAACGGGGCTGATAGAGCCGATCAAGGAAAGGAACGGAACGGAAAGGGGAGCGAACACAGGGGAGCGAACACAGGGGAGGCGAGGGGGAGGCGAGGGGGAGGCGAGGGGGAGGCGAGGGGGTGCCCCCATCCCCACCCAATACACACACACACACACGCACACACACACACAGACAACACGACACAGGATTGCCGTATATAAAAGCATGACAACGCAAGGGGCCACGGGTGTGTCGAACACGGGGGGCCGGCACGTCCAGGACGAGAGGGCACGTGGAAGGAAGCGGGCGAAGGCAGGGGAGTTGGGAGTGGGCCATCGCACCACTACTACTACTGCTACTACTACTATTACTACGGCCGCAGCAGTATCAGCAGCTGTAGCTGCATAAGGTAATAATGCGCATACATGTACAGCCGTTGTAGCACTGCTACAGCCGCGACAGGGGTGTCAGAGGCACTCTGCCCGGAGCACACAGAGCAGTTGTGACGCCAGTTGTGGGCAAGCTCAACCAAGGAAGGCTTTGTTTGTGGGGCGGCAAAAGATGGTGAATGTTCACCCCCTCACATGCGCCAGCAGCGCACACCCCAATGACAGGCGTTTGGGCTGTAGATGCAGTTACAGCGCGGCCAACACGGACTTGAGCCGCCTCCCTCTATCTCTGTCACACACACACACACACACACACACGTCCAACACCAACACCACATCCAACACCACCAACATCGGGTCGCACTACACATCGCCCGCATCATTGCCAACATGCACGCACAGCTAAACACATCAGCCGAGCACAACCGGGGGCATCTGGAAGCCCCTGACTGGCGAGGCAGGTGGGGCATCGGGCCCTTCTACCAGTCGGGTCGGGTCAGATCGCGTCGGGGTAAAGGGCCAACGAGTCCCCTCTTGAACCCCCTTCCCAGTGACCCGCGGAAGCGGCCACGTTGCGTCCATTGAGACATCGTAAGAGGGCCAAGTGCCAAGCCCGCCCGCCCCCCCACGGTGGCAATGGCAGCTTCTTATCATACATCACCGTCGGCCCCACCAGCACTTGGCAGGCGGCAGTTTCCAGCCGAGCCTTCGGCCTAGCTTAGCGTGGGCACGGCATGCGGATGCACCACATATGCAACCATGCACGCAGCAACGGCGGCGAAGACCTGCAACTGATGCCGCAAATGAAGTGTCTCGGCAGAATGGTAGAGGCGTGTGTGTGTATGTGTGTGTCCTTCGCACGGGGCGTTGAATTCCAAGTCCCCGAACCCCCTTCCTGACATATATGCCGCCACAGAGGCTTCTTCGCGGCTGAGCGCCTTCCGGAAAGGGCCAGATCGGGAGAAACTGACTGTCCTCCGGGAGCATCACCGGAAAAGGGGCCATCTGGGCTGAGCTGACGGAGGTCACTCAGAGATCCATATGGGGCGATAATCTCAGGAGACCCATGGGACTGCGGCGGCGGCTCTCCTCCGCGCACTGCCATCCCATCCCTGCCCGGGCACTTGCCGGACGAGGAACGCTGTGGTCGGATGGGGCGCACGCCGGGTCATGCAAGGGGCCCCCCTGCAGCATTACGTGCCGTGCACATCTGGGACTCTTAGCAGCAAAGATTTAAATAGTGTTAGCTCTAATAGATATGTACTTGGGAGTTCTCTCTCCAAAGTGCCCGTGCTGTACCATCTGATAATAAAAGTGAAGAAAAGCCCGGATTACTTCCCAAAGCCCCCTTTGAAACCAGGAGAACTGTTTTTATTACTGCTGCAAAATGGAAACATAGCTCAGGCCACCGTACGATTCGCCGACGGAGCCGTTACATGGCGGAGCTGCCAATCTGAGATATGAGCGCCGGCCCCATCCAGGGAGGGACCAAAACAACAGCCACCCCGCCACCACCACCACCACCACCGCTACTATGGCCCAAGCGTCCTCCATCAGCCCAATACCATTGCCACACTGAAGGAGCCATTGACATCATCTCTCTAAGCTGGAAATGGGGCCCCCGTGACAACGCTCTCTCCAAACTGAGGCAGACTAAGCAGGGAAGCCCGCAAAGGACCAAACATGACAAACTGGAAACGGGGCGCTGGCGAGGGACAGGAAGCAATGCACGGGGGGCCACGTCGAGACCATACCGCCCCACAGCATGGGTTTTGGTGTGCATGCATGCATGCACGCACGCATACATGTTTGCGGGGGCCTCCCTGCGATGTGTCCATCTTCCTCCAGCTGTGCAGCACATGTGCAGCAACATTCTTCCATGCAAACATGCAATGCAAAGGACGCTATACACGCATGCCACAACGTTGTGGAGATGCGGGTACGGATACGGTACCTCGCCAGCCGTCGACTGCGGCACAACCTGCTCTTCGCCGCGCCTCGCATCGGCCATGACAAGGAGCAGAAAACACAAATAGCAGCTCGAGCCTTCAAGGCATTCCCATTCATTTGTCTGCTGTAACAGCCAGTGCAGCCGCAGGTGCAGCAGCGAGAGCAACCGCAGCGGACCACTATTCGGTCCACCCCACGGTCCGGGCCCCACCAGCAGCAAGGCAGCAGTGCATTCAATACATGAAGGAAAAAAACAACACGCCTGCCATCGCGCCGCCCCACCACACCGCCATCTCCACAATCAACACCACGGACCTTACATTCCATCAGGCTGCCAACACAACCAGAATGCGCACATACCCCTGCAGCAGCAGCAGCAGCAGTAGCAAAGTAGAAGGAGGCTGCCAAAGCACCGGGCCAATGCTGAGTGCCAATGCTGACCTCGTGTAGACGCCATTGCCGGCGCGCCGACTCACGCTTACCCGGGACGCTGGGCGCTGAATCGCCCGTGAACAGCAGCACGATGTGCTCAGCCAGCTTCGCCGCCGCCACCTTAACGCATGTGCTAGGATGGCCCTGGCTGACCTGGCACATGTCCACCTGCAGACGCCGGACATTGTCCCACACGTCGCGCACGTCGGGCTGCGACGGCTGCGGGCAGCGGGGCAGGAGGGTTTCAGCAGCCGGGAAAAGTTCAAAACGCCGGCAGAAGGAAGCAGCGGCAGAAGGAAGCAGCGGCAGAAGGAAGCAGCGGCAGAAGGAAGCAGCGGCAGGGGAATATGCTGCTATGGTTTCCATCAGGTGGGCGGCGCGGCTGGGTGGCGCTGCGGTGCCTGAGGAGACGGGCGACATATCATATCCAGGGTGGGCATGGGGTTGGATAACACGCCTTCATTTCCTTACGAGGCTAGCAGGTAAGGAATTAGGATTTTATCGTCGCGAAGTTCCCCGCTGTTCGCGTCCCTGGTGCACAGCCTGTCCCCGCCCGGTTCTGTAAAGCATCCATGACCAGACGGACGTCGCGGCGCAAGGTATGTCAAGAAGCTTGGAGCAGTAATGAGCGAGTCATGACACGCAGCAGCGAACATACCAGAGGCCAATAAGTCGCCCCGAAGGGAAATCCGAGAAAGATCGTATGTATTACTTTTGGCGCGAGCGCTGCCGAACCGCGCGCAAGCCTAGGAACGGCTAGCGTGGCAAAGCGTCACACCGTGTTAACATTGGTACTACTGGTTACCGAAGGCATTGGTACTTTGGTACTACTGGTAATATCACCTTGAGGGAAACTAGGGCGAGTGACGCACGCAGGAGGCAAGCGAAGGCGAGCACTGCCTCTTTCACCACCCCCGGCACGCTGTCGCGTAGCAGTGATGCCAGGCAGGCCGTGCAATGCACGATTCCCTGCACGCCAGTGTGATTGATTGCCAGCTGACCAGTAAAGGCTGCTAGGCTCCTTCGAACGTCTGAGGAGACGCTCGCCTGTCGTGGGGAAGGGTAGGGAAAGAGGGACGCGGGTGTAAAGGTGACGAAGACGACAGGTGTGTATTCGCGAACGCATGCATTACAGGCCTTACAGGTCACATTTTTACCGATGATGGTAAGCACGTCCAGGATGTGAGGATATACCCATGATGTGCAGCACCTTTTGTCGGATGCGCACCTGGAGCTGTTGGAGCACGCCGGGGAGCCAGGATGCCACGAAGTCATCGGGGCAGGGCCCACCCTCGCTGCTTGACGGCTCCAACGCTTGACGCAGAGCATTCAGCGCCGACAGCTACAAGACACATGGACCAAGCAGAGTCTCGTCAGTCCTTCAGGGACTGCCGGGCCGCCTGCCGGCTTAATGCGTCCATTACGACAATCTCAGCCGACCTGTGCGTCCTCCCCAGAAGCTGACCGCAGTTGCTCTATGAGAGGCGGCAACCTTATGTGGATTGCCGTCATTTCTTGGGACTCAGCGAGGTCTAGACATTGCCTGCACCCAGCTGTGCGCCAAGTCAACAATTCGCACGACGCTACGCTGGATAATTACATTTCCAGCGCATGCAGATCTAATAATAACAACTTGCAAGGTGGCCTGACGATCAGTTCCGAAGACTGTCGAAAATTACCCTTAACCAACTTGTGAGCCATGCAAATCTATGTCCGTGACGGGACATTACAAAAGCTTGATGTAAAATGTAGCTGGAGTTCATGGGGACGACAGTTGTCGTACGGATTTATACCAAATCATGGCAAAGCGACGGCATAGTAATTTTGCAAGCGTTGACCGATAAATGCTAGACCCATTCAGAATATGGCGTCATGTAGGACGGCATGAGGGGAATGCCACACAGGCAGCAGCTGGTCTGTTCCTATGCTTGCAAACAGCTCCTCCCACATGCAGTGCTTACAGGTCGGTTGGGTTGCCGCAATAAAGCCCTCTCAAGAGATCAAGACAATAAGGCCTCAGATCATGACAAACTACCAGTCGTGACGGAGTCTCCGGTCAACCCCAGCCCTGGCCCCCCTATAGCATGTCCACCGCCGCTGCCGCGAACCGCCGCCACCATTACCACCGTTCAATGCATCTGTCTCAACACAGTGATAGGATTCTCCGCTGTACCTCTGCTCTGCGCCAGCACCCAAACCTGCACAGATGGCGCAATCATCCCAGCTCCAACCGCCTTAACAGCACTTCTTTTGGCATCCACCTGCCAGGCCGCCGGTACGTGCCTCATAGTGGCTTCGGAGCTAAGCGATGATCTAAGGCGACGCCAACCCAGCCTCTACGCTGCTGCCCCTTCTCCTCCTAATCAAACCCTGCTTCCCACCATATTACGAGATCTTCTCCCCTCCCTGGGATTCCAGCCCACACCGGCAGCGCTGGCCTGCGGTGCCGCCACGGCCGTTGCCGCCGCGGCTGCAGTCGCAGCGTGCAACACGATCCTGGCGGCGGCTATCGCTTCCGATCCCACTGCCGACGGGAACACACGCGCGCTGCAGGTTGCCCTCCTCAGCACAACCAACAACAGCGAAGCGGCAATGGCCCTCGCATGCCTCCTGGTTTCGGAGTGCCTTCTAGCGCCCCTTGCTGAGGAGATCGTGTTCCGAGGAGTGCTGCTTCGGTCGCTGCTCTCCAGCGGAGACGGCAGCGCTGCAGGACAAGGCCACAGAGGCGAGTATGACAGCGCTGGCGCCGGCGGCGGCGGGAACGAGGACCTTCCGCAGAGAGCGACTGTCGCGGCAGGCTGGATGGTTCCGGTAGTGGTTCAGGCGGCTTTGTTTGCGTGTTATCACTGGAATTCAGCCGAGTGGCCAGCGCAGTTTGTTCTTGGACTTGCGCTTGGAGCGGGGTACATGGTGAGCGGGAGGAACCTGGCGACCAGCCTGGTGGCGCATGCGGTTTACAATTGTACGGCAGTACTGTTACTGCTGGATGGAGTTGGAGCGCAGTGACTGGTGACGGGGAAGGATTGGGATGAGCAGGGAAGTGGCCTTAATGGAAAAGAGGAAAGGAAGGCTGTCAGGCTACTAGCGCGCGTGCGTGTTTTGCCTGGATGGTAGTTTCTGGGTGTGTACCATGCACATACAACTGCGTCCTGTGTGATTACGTGGTGCGGGATGGAAGCTGTAACTGTGATGGAGAAATGGATGCATCAAGTTGATTAACAGTTGTTGTTGTTGCTGCTGCTGGGGGCAGCACTGCACCGCGTTGCGGTTACCAATTTTGGTGGACGGTGGTGTGAAGGACGTCAGTGCTTTATATAGCTGTTTGTGTGCATCCGGCTTGGATGAGGATGTGATGATAGCAGCTTTGGCTGCACCAGTAAAGTCTTAGAAGCCTTGTTGTTTTAATCTTTTTGCGCTGGAGGGGAGCAGGAAAGAATTAAATCTGCCCAGTCAGGTACTGTCTTGCGTTTTGCTAATGCCTCCGAGACCATGGAGCAAATCTCAGAGGAGACGTTGGAGACGAAGCTCCTGACAGTTTCACTTGTGTCCTACTTAGGGCGAGTTTCAACCAGTGTGTCCTGTATGAAATCAAGCAAGCAAAGCTTGCGTACAGTGCCGCTTGGGTCGTCGGTTGAGCATGGCCCAAGTCATACATCGACAACTACATTATATCCATGCAGGATGGTTGCATAGGACATCAACGCAATCGATCTCCCATTCCCTTAACGCCGCATATGGTTGGCCATGCTTTCATCGGAGTCACGCTTGCACCTGGGTGAGCACACGCGCAAGCAGCTCTATTAAAACTGTTAGCAACATATGAACATTCATGGCTTAATGTTTTTATTCCCACACCAACTGTCCAATTTATTCCACGGTTTGCATTAATGGTCAGGGAGGCAAAAGGCATAACGCGATCCGCGCAAAAGCACAAGAGAATTCCGACCAGGCAGCTTCATCAACATCGGTCCCTGGAAAGGCCGCCACGGCCACCAAAGTTAATGCAGGGAGCACCGAAGGAGACCCATCTTCCGCTGCCAAAGGGGCCTCCAGCAGCAACCCCAGCAACCCAGACCCTTCCTCCGAAACGTCTTTCGCGGACCTCGCCACAGATACCTCCTTTATCGAAAAGCTGGCCGGTGCCGTAGCCATGTACGGCCTTACCGTACTGCTCTCCAGTCTGGCCGGCGTCGACGCCACGCAGGGGCTGCAGTGGTACGGCGGTGCACCGTTGGCAATCGGTTGCGCTACCGCCGCGCCCGTCATCTTGGCGGTGGGCCTTCTGTTCCTGCCCTCCCTGGATCCGGGGTTCACGGTACCTGAGCTCCGTACAATCAGCGAGGTAGACGAGGCCGAGGAAGCCGCGTCCTTCGACATCTCCATCTCCACTTCCTCCCCTTCCTCACCCTCGTCAGCAGTAATAACAGCTGTACCAACAGGACGCGGAGGAGTGCTAGGGGAAGGGGACTCGTTCAGCTTGCAGGCGCCCTTCCCCGATTCGTCAGAGGAGCTTGAAGGGGTGGGTTGGCCTTGGGGGAGCTTTTCCCGGCTGCGGCGACGCTGTAGTGCAGGGATGGGCGGCGGGTGGGGCAACCTGCCCCACATCCCGACATAGGGGATCGCGGTGGTGGTATACGCGAGGTTAGGTAGGAGGGGAAGAAATGTCACATCGAGACACCACGAGACAGGTCGGTTTCTCTGATTCAGCAGGGAGCTGATCCGGACTGCGCCAAAGCCTTTTGCTTTTCCTTGGGATAGGAATCGAATAAATTCAAATTTCTGGCGGGAAACCTTCTGGACCCTCGTCCTGTATTCTTTTCCTTTTCCTCCCCTGCCCACCTCCCTCAACGCTCAGGTAAACAGCACACATTTTGCTAATTATGCACCCCCCCCCTTCCCCCCTTTCCCGGCCCGCCGCCGCGTGGTTACTCCGGGAGGTGCCGGGTTACGAGTCATCATCCCTCGGCGTCCTTGCAGCCTGCTCCTCTTCCTCCTCTTCCTCCTCTTCCTCCTCTTCCTCCTCTTCCTCCTCTTCCTCCTCTTCCTCCTCTTCCTCCTCTTCCTCCTCTTCCTCCTCTTCTTCCTCTTCTTCCTCTTCCTCCTCTTCTTCCTCTTCCTCCTCTATCTCCTCTTCCCCATTGCCGTCCTGCTCATTCCCCCCTTGGATCATTTTCTGTACCCAAAACCACGCGCAACACCCCTCCCCTCGTTCCGTGCCCCACCTGCCTCTTCTCGACTCCTCAGCCGCCCCTCACGCTCGCGTCCCTCCAGCGGGGCCTGTGGCTCTACCAGGTGCAGGTGCTGAAACCCTGGTGAGGTGCGGTGGCGAGATACGGCAACTCGGGGGCTCAGGCCCACAAGTGGGAAATCCGGCAGTGCTATTTGGGTTTTGGGTTTTACCCCTCCATATTTCCGTCAATCGTGTGTGCTCCGTCGTATCCCGTACCCCCTACCAGGCCGTCAGGGGTGGCTGCCGTGGGCTTGTGGGGTGGGGCTGAGAGCTGAGGGGTGACGAGAAAGGGCAAGAGGGAAGTCGGTAAAGCAACTGTCGATGTCCAGGAGGGGCAGGAGGGCCAGGAGGGTTTCATGACTCCTTAGGGCGGCGTGGATATACACACACATACATACATACATACATACATACATACATACATACACACACGGCCATGCCACAGTGCAACCCGATGGCCGCCTGTCCCTGCACTTCCCGACCCAAATCCGGATTAATGCAGGTTCAACCCACCCAAAGCCGCGTTTGAATGAATTCCGGATTTCATGATCCAGGGATCCAATCCGAAATCCAATGCCACGCTCGTGTGGGGCCCGGTGTTCAGGTTTCCCGAGATCCGTTGGTCCAGTGTGGGCCTGCTGTTTCTGGCGTCCTGTGCCGCCGCGGGCTCCCAGGAGCTTCTAGTTCGGGGTTACGGCGGCTCCTTACTGGTGGGCTGGTACGGGCACCTGCTTGCGAGCGCGACGGACGTCAATAACCCAATTTACTGGGCGAAGGTGGGGCTCCGTTTGCTTGGACCGATGATGGTTTATTTTATGGTTAGGGGAGGCTGGGGCGATTGCGCCCCGGATGAAGATGACGGCTTAGGGCGGGCGGTGGTGGGGGCAGTGGTGGGGTAGCGGCGGCGTTTCATGGGAGGAGGGGCGGGGGTTGGGGCGGTGGTGAAGGTGGTTTTAAGGTGTCGCAACCTGCACCTGCTGCTGCTGCTGCTGCTATGATGCAATGATCCTGGTGCACAGCGGCATTGCCCTGCTTGCAAGGCACGCGTGGTACTCACTAGCATTCGGTGTTCGAGACAGTCCCGTCGTACCCGGAGATGTACGGCCCGTACTGTGTACGACTTTTACGTGCGTGCAGGTATTTAGGCTGGTGACTCCTGACACAGCTCGCTGGATGGCTGCGTTTTCACTCTTAGCGCTGCAGGTGCGTGGGTTGTGTGTGTGTGTGTGTGTGTGTGTGTTTACGCGTGTGTATCCACGTGTATGTTTTAATAACCTGATAGCCAAACCAGGGGGAGAGGGGGGGGGACTGGCGAGGGAATGGCACAGGAGTAAGTGTATCGAAGCAAGTACCGTAATCCAGCGAATGTTAGGATATTCCCGTGTGCGTGTGTGAGTACAGGTTTAGGAGGGGACTGTAGAGGTCGGGTACCCGTACAAAACCCTGCCACACTGTTAAGAGAACAACCCTCGAGGATGCCGAGTATGAGGGGGCGGATGCGGGCTGTGTGTGTGGGGGGGACCGAGGGGGGAAAATGAGGTGCAGCTAGGGGGGTGGAGCTGTGGCATAGGGGGGAGGCACGTGCACACGCGAGCGAGTGCCTGGGCCCCCCTGTGGGCTCGAGTGCCGCAGCCCTGCAAGCACCAGTAAGCATGCCGACTGCTGCTTAGCGAGGGTCCGTGCTGCTTAGCGGTTGATCCGCCCACCCCAAGGGGGCTGGGGTAATATTCCACCTTCCCTGGATCAATGCTGCTGCTACTGCCGATTATGTTCGGGCCCTTGCGATGATGTAACGACACCTGAACAGTGAACACTGTTGGCGTTGCTTCTCTAAAAAGCCTTTGGACATTATATTGATTGGGAATGCAACGATGACAACGGTGGCGTCAGCAAAACTGTTAGGGAGGTAACGGTAATAACGGAACGGAACTGACTGCTGCAGGTGGCGTTGTCGTCCTTGTCGGTGCAACGCGCCTCGAGGTTCGCTCGTACGGCACTAAACCGAGTGGGTCGTGTGGATTCGAAGCTGGCCGAGGAGATGGGGACGGTTCGGGGCTTAGTCAGGGTGACTGCCCTCCAACTTGATGATGATGATGCACCCACGGTAAGGGTTGTCGGGTTCCGGATTTTGAAGGGAAAGACAGACAGACAGACAGACAGGCGAATAGCGAACGTGACCCGAACACAAGTACGACAATTCAGGAAGTAAGGAAATTGGGGATGTGCACTCCTCTCTCCCCCACCCACACCCCCACACCCTGCCGGGGTCTGTGTGGGGATGTCTCCGCACTCCCGTGCCCAACTTAATCCTACCAGGTCCTCAAGGGTACTATTTTTTGCTCCATTCCTATCTGCTCCGTTCCTCTTTTACCTCAAGTTGCCTTCCCTGGATCGACCTCACCCCACCCCACCTCACCTCTCCCCGGCTCCTGTTGAGGCTTCCCCTCCTGGCGTGGCTTGCCAGGGGCCCTCCCGTGAAATCCCACCCAAGTAGTTTCCACCTGCGCCATTCCCGCCTCGTTTCCGGCCTCAAACTCTGTCACCCGGTATGTAACGGTTTGTCTTCACATTTCCCGTCTCATCATGATGGCCTTCTGCTTGCTGCTGCTACTGCTGCTGCTGTTGCTACTGCGGCTACTGCGGCTATTGCTACTGCTACTGCGGCTACTGCGGCTATTGCTACTGCTGCGGCTACTGCTGCTACTGCTACTGCTGCGGCTGCTGCTGCTACTGCTACTGCTGCGGCTACTGCTGCTACTGCTACTGCTGTTGCTATTACTGCTACTGCTACTGCTACTGCTGCTGCTACTGCTGCTGCTGGGGCTACTGCTGCTACTGCTAATGCTGCGGCTACTCTGCTACTGCTGCTGCTACTGCTGCTGCTACTGCTGCTACTGCTACTGCTGCGGCTACTGCTGCGGCTACTGCTGCTACTACTGCTGCTGCTACTGCTGCTATTGCTACGGCTGCGGCTACTGCTGCTACTGCTACTGCTACTACTGCTGCTGCTGCTGCTCTCCTGCTGCACCTCTCCTCCTGCCGCCAGGTAAAGGGTGAGCGCGATCTGCTTTTGGAGTTCCCCACTGCCGAGGAGCGTGTGACCTACTGGGCCAGTTTGGGGGTGTCCGTGCTGCTGTGTGGCGCCATGAACTACGCCTGGGCGGCAAGCGGGAGCCTGCTGGGGTCTTACACGGCAAGGGTGAGGTGGCCTGGGCGTGGGTGGGTAAGGACAAGGCGATCGAAGCGAGGCCGGGGTGGTGTGAACAGAAAAAGGGTTCACGGGGGAGGGGAGACGGGAAGGGAAGGGTTGAAGAGAGCCAGTCTGGAGCTGTGAGCTGAGCTGAACTCTCAGCAGCCCCCGGTTCGGTTCGGTCCGGTTCGGGAGGGGGAGGGGAGGGGGCGGCCTAGAGGGGAAGTATGTGTGGGGGAGTGGAGGTGGGGCGGAGGAGAGGGACATTGGGGTAGAGGTAGAGGAGGACGCCGGAGACGAGGGGAGAGGGGGGTATCCTTTTGCTTTTACATGGCAATGGCAAGGGGGTATTTGCAATGGTGGTATCGAAACAGAGACGCCACCAGAGGAAGGGCGATAGTCGTGTAAATGCAAAGCAGACTTGAAAAGGTAATGGCATGGCAGTACAGGGGGTGTCTTACGGCCGTCCATACCTCACACCGACGTCAAGTCTGCCATCGTCCTCCATCTAATATCTTCACCCCCTGGGCCCCCCCTGCCTCAGCACTTTCATACACGTGCCATCATGTGCGCTCCACGGCCAGGGGAGTTCGTTGTCAGGTTCCTTTTGTCTAGTAATCTGTTTCCCAACGCCCTTGCCATGCCGTGTTGTGTCACGCGGCTTCGTGCCGTGGCTTCTTTTTATGCGAATTGTGCCGTGTTTGTTGCATGCCGTGATGTCGTGGTGTCATGCATGGTGTCCTGATGTCCGTCTTTTGGCGGTTACTGCAGGTGGCAATTGACGGTGTGGTGACGGTGTTGCAGCAGCTCAAAGAAAAGCAGCTGCCGGACAGAGCGCGGTGGAATGAGGTCCGGCGACAACTGCAGGAGGAAGAAGAGGATGAGGACAAGGAGGAGAAAAGAAGGGAGGAGGAGAAAGGAGTGGCAGCGGGGACTAAGTAGCCTGGTCTGGGCCATTGATCTAATTGCATGTGGGCAGCGAGAGCATGTGGCAGTGGGAATTCGCTTTGAATTGGGATCATGTCCGAACATGGCGTGTGCTGCGCTTCACTATGATGCGTGCGTGTGTATGTGTGTGTGTGTGCCTTCCAGGTTGCATGGGTGTCATGTTGGCTGATTTGAATGATGGCTACTGCGAAGAAGGGACTTATTAGAAAGGGCGCTCGTGCATTGCGGCCCAAGAATGTGGGGACTTGAGAGCTTGTGGGGACTTGACGCGTAGGACGGGTGGTCCGGTGGCAATAAAGGCTCGGATGGCTGCAGATGGCAACGTGTCGATGGCATGTTCGCCGTGTGTCACCCTTAAGACGTTGCTTAATTAGGTACTGGTATCAGATGAATCGGCCTACAGTATGGTCAACAATGATGCACAGAATTAGAAAAGCTATGAGGAACTTGTCAGCGCCACGCCTTCCTACCGGGTAAGCTGGAAGCATACCAGGTACAAGGGAGGGAATCTCGGGATTTATTTACAGCGGCCGGCCTTTACGTGCCGATTGTGTCGAGTATGCCTGTTGTCTGTGTGATGCAGTGGTGAAGGCAGTCGACGGCCAGGGGCCCCAGCTGTGGCTGAGTACTTGGAGATTTCGAGGAAGAGTGTCGTCGTCGTCGTCGCGGTTGTTGAGGGCTGTGGTCGATTGGACCGCACTAAATTCATCGTCGTGTGAGAGGTGTGTGTTTCCAGACAGGACGCTGACTGATGGCTGAATGCATCAATGCAGCATCGTCTGCAGTTGCATCTCTGTGGGGGGTGTGGGGTGGGGTCGCTCTGGCCGCGGGGCCATCTAGGTGCCGGCTAACCCACCCCCGCTCAAGTAACCGCTATGTCGTTATTTGCCTGAATACCGACTTTGTGACTCGCAACGGAAATTGGAGCGTTTCATATCTATCTGCCATGTATCAGTATTGCATGGCAAGCGGTCTGCAATCCTTTCGGTCTGCCTGCTGGCAAGCGTGGCTATGCTGGACAGCTGCCTGGCCCGGCAGTGGCAAAGCAGCCTTATCGGCAACCATTACCGCTATCGCCGTCACAGCCAAAGAAGTGAGGGGCGGGGAAGTGGTGTAAGAATGTCGCTTCCTGAGCTCGTTAACCCAACCCTGACAACGCTTCGGGAATAACCCAGCGAATCTTCGGAAATAACTTAGTACCTTATCAAGAACTTTAGATGGGATCTCTCCCCGGGATCTCTCTCCCGGGGAGGCCGGTAAGGTGATGTCAAGGCACAGGGAACACATATCTGCAGGGTACTGGAGCCCTCCCTCTAGAGCTCACCCGCCCACCCGTGCCGGGCCCCCGCCCACAGCACAGCTCCCCTCTGCACAGTGACGTCCCTCCCTTCACATCACCAGCCAACGTGTTTATCCATATCCGCCTGCACCTGTGCGTAGAGAGCGCTGTGCTACCCACCTTAACAAACCAGCCAACACCAGTACAGCAATGGACCGCGTCAACAAGCCCCCTTCCAAAAACGTTTCTGCAAAGTGCAGGCGCCGAGGATTTGGACGCTTTAGGCGCGTGCCAAGTGCATTTTGCGTCTCATGATTGACAGGAGTAAATGAACGAATGCCTCGCTTCCCCTCCCCACAACTTCATTTCCATGAATCTACACTCATACACGTATCGTATGTCTATAGGGAAGAATCTGCCGCACCAAAATGCTTAGCACTCTTGGCGCTGTAGGAGCTGGGGTGGATGAGGGTAACCTCGCTATACGGTAAAACGTACAGCGACGTAGCTCTAACCCTACTCCCCCTCCTCCTTGCAAGCAACACACCGCAGACATCCCGTCAGGCACCTGCAGGCCAGAGACGTGACAGATCTGCGCACGGCGGCGGCGTGGCATTCCCCCATGCTTTGCCCTACGCCTGCACCCCCCCCCAGCGAGAGAGGTCAGTCCTGTCCACACCCGACATCACCACTGCCTGGAGAGGGTGCCTTACCTCCACGAGAGACCCGCAACACGTGCATATAGCCCCTGCCGGTCTCAATCCTTCCCGTCCGCAGCGCCCGCTGGAGCCCGACGTGGAATCAAAGACCGGATTTTTGGAGTGTGCTCCAATACCTAGTCCGATACACGTCGCAAGGAGCCACCGCCTATTTCCAGGATCTAAACCCCGGCAAAATGTGGCGACAAAACACCGTGTGGTCATCGCAAAAAAGTGCCGCAAAAAAGTCATCAAGTGTGTCGCACCGCCGCATTTGCACTACCCGCTGCTGCTTCCGTAGACGTAGCTGATGAGCGTTGCACCGGGGACGGGGGAAGGAGGACCGTTCCGCACGGCCGCTTGGGCGGCTTTTCCACCTCCCCTAACGATTCCGCCGCTGCGGCCAGTGCTGCTCCCGCGGCGGGAGTCCCGCCGGCACCGCCACAGTGCATGCTGCGTCACCCATCCAAACCTACGGTGCGCCTGCTGCTGCCGGCTGCTCGCCAATGCCCCCATCTTTGCCTCCATTACTGTTTACTGCTGTGCTCAAGACGCGCTGCGCCCACCGCCCCGGCATGGGAATGGACGCCACGAACTACGGTCGTCCGCGGGTCCGTCTGTCCCTCCCTGGTGCCGCAGCTATTTGAACCCTCAAAGCATCCCGCTGCCATCACCACAACGGCTCAGAAGCTCGTTTTCCTCCTCCTTGTCCAATCACCGGCTGGAACCTCTACCCTGCCAGCTTCAACCCCAAGCGCCGCACACTGCGCCACACGATGCAATGGCTATCTGCTCCACACTCCACAGGACGCCCATGTGGACCCTTTCCGGGCCTTTCCATGCAACCGCCATTCACCCTTGTGATTAGACGGCGCACATGCTCACCCCCCCCCACACACACAGTCCGACATGCGGAAACGCTCATGCACACGGAGCCCTATAACCCGTCTCAATAAAAACCCAAAATTAACGCAGCGGCCTCCACGCGCTATGTAAGCTGGCGGCGGAGGGAGACAATACGGGTTTTCTTCCAAAGGGAAGCAACCAGGGAGAAAGCGCCGGGACGTGATAACTAGCGGGCATGGGCTCTTGAGCAGTGCTACCTGCTAAGCTCCACTCCGCGACGGCACGGGTAATACGTCAGTAGTGGTCAAACGGTTGAGATATACTCAACAGACACATACAGACACTCAAACCGGCAGTTTCTCGCTCAGATCCATATAAAAACGCATTGCATTGGACAGATCAACCCGCCCTCCAAAGACGCGGTCAACGTGCACACACGCATCACCAGCCACACATCATTCACGCTGCTTTTTGACCTCGGGACGATGTTCCATTCCAATGCCTCCATTACGCCCACCAGCAGCGGAGTGCACAGAAAGCAAATCAGTCCATCATTTCAAAACAATTGGTTAGTCAGAGCCCACAGTGGCTGATGCCAGTCAGCAACGTTCTGTACACGTCATCCTGTACACTCCGACAGCAAGCAAGCACCTAGGGCTCAGGGCAAAAAGGTACCCTAGGGATCCCCCTCCCACGTTCCGCCCATCCCTTCACGAGCCGTTCCCCTTCGTCCGCTGGTAGATCCAGTTAATTCCGTCCAGCAGCCCCTCCCCTGTAAGCGCGCAGCAGGCCTGGATGTGCCAGTCGTGGTTGCGGATGCTATGCAGCATCAGCGATTGAGTCAGCTCCTCCACCGTCATCGCGTCTCGCAAGTCCTGAAGGCCACCGTATAGCATCAGGCACGACACGCACGACGGTTCCCGAGCCATGAGACACGAACGAATTAGGGTGGGGGCGCCCGGGATGGGGTGGGGGGTGGGGATCGCCACAGGAAAGGGTTTTCTAGCGGGAATTGGAAATGAACACACCGGCATCTCGGCATGTAGAGAGTGCAGATGTATAGGCCACATTCCCATATCACGGCGCGGCATGACACATCCCACATGTGTGACCACATATGTGACTCCACGTTCCGTACCATACTGTACAGCTTGTCCACGTACTTTGCCGTACCATACCGTATCGTACCTGCTTGTTGGCATACACCAATATAGGGGCCTTGGCCAATTCTTCACTCTCCAACAAGTTGAACAGCTCGGACTGATGATCACAAAGTCCAGAGTCCGGATATAGATTGGGGGGACGGGGAAAAAGAGCGTCACGGCAAAGGTTTTTTTGGTCTCGGAGAAAGGGCGCTAAGAGTCCGAGCCTCTTGAGTAAAAAAAAGGTTACATGCCCGGGATGTTCCTTTCCAACGCCCCCCTGGGGTCCGGTGCCCCGGCGGGACTCACGCAACTGTACACCGTTACCCGCAACACACTGCACATTTCCCCCCTTTCCCCGCCATTGCGCCCGCTCCTTCCCACGCCAGCTACCCCCACCTTGGTAACTCCCACTCTGGCCCGGTCCGTGGAGTCCACCACCATCACCACGGCATCCGTGTTCTTCAGGTACGTGGCCCAAAAGGGACGGAGGTTCTGCTGGCCCCCAAGGTCCCAAATCTGCGGATGGGAAAAAGGCAAAGAGGGCCACGGACAAGACGCCGTGGTGCAAGGATATGGGCGGTAAGGGAACGTAGGGCCTGTTGGCACGTCCAGCTGGGCGTCGGCCTGGACAGATTCACGGGTCCGAAAGCCGCTGTTGTTTCCAGCCTACCCCAGTAACCCGGGTGGTGGGTGTAACACCCCGGGGCATCACGTCACTGCCCTCCCGCCGGGGGAGATGTGGGCTCCAGTTCAGAATCAGAACCGACCGATAGAAGGGGCAGTTGGAGACCTGATGGAAACCTAGGGCACGATTATGGACACAATGCCCCAGCAGGTTACACGGAGGCCTCATGGTCAAGAAGTCATCATTTGGGTCAGAAGAAGTTTGCGTCGCAGTGAGGAGCAGCACCCAAATCGCACACAATCCGCAACGGTTCGAGCTAGGTCACTGTGTGCTACACTCTGCAGAGACCAACCGGCGGGGTCTCCACGCTGACGGAAAACCGTCGCACGGGTGTGCACTGTCCCAAGGCAAAAGAGAGGGCGATGGATTGCTCGATTCAGCAAGTCCGATTGGACGTCGGGAGGAGGCGAAGGTAAGAGGCGACTGAGCTATTAGGAGAACAGGCAGTCCTCAGAGGGTTTAGGGCTTGAGGTGTCTGCCGGGCGTGGAAGTTGTCACTCATCGGTCGTGGCCTCAAGAGGTGCACCCGTTTCTTATCATCTGAATTAGTCCAAGTTGGAGGGCTGATTAAGAGCTTAGGGTGATGAAGAGGAGTTTCAGCTTCTCCTAAACATGTCACGATCCATCCCGGCGGCTAGGTGGTGCGTATGAAGCCCTCCATAACCCATGCGGCCTTCCCTGCTGCCCTCCATAACCCCGATTCGGACCTCCAGCTGTATGTTTTTAAAGCGGACGAGCTCCACGTTGCTCCCCACAGTTGCAGTCGCTTGGACGACTTCACCCAGATGAAGCTTGTAAAGAATCGTCGTCTTGCCAGCGTTGTCCAGTCCCACCTGATTGAAGACCGTGCATCACGTCACGCCATTTCGCTATTGGATACTATCAGTAAGCAATTACAGAGGACCCAGCATAAAGTACATGGTGGATGTATTAATCAGAGGTTGGATTGAGGAGAGCAAGAGACGCATAAAACGCACCATAACAATTTTGTACTCCTTGCTGCCGAACCACATCGCCCATAACGTTGAGAAAAGGGCACCCATGGTGCCCCGCTGTAGCTACCCTCAGGGCGGCCAGAGGTTCAGGCGCAACTGCACAGATTGCGCTGCTGGATGAGTAACCAGGTCAGCAGAAACTGTAACCTGCCCTCTTAGGGCTAGCTCAAGACCAAGCTCTACCTAAAATGAAGCTGCATAAGCGAACAATAGATCAAGTGCCAAACCCAAATTTCTTTACTAGCAGTAGGGCTCGCGACCGATGCTTTGTGACATATAGCAGAAACGAGCGCAGAAACCAATGAAATGATCCAAGTTATGCTCTCGGCAGAGGTGGCTGTTTAGCCATTTTAGAGTCTGACCGTACTCAAAAAACTAACAACCATCAATCAAACCGGCCCAAACGAGATCATTGGCTATCTGTGCTAAAGCATCCCTTGCCTGTTGCGTCATCTGCAACGGGTTTTACCTGATTGGTCAGATACAAACCTGCGGTGTTGCGGAAAGCTTCGGTGCTTCGGTATCGGCGTAAAACATAATAAGCAGGGCTTGCCCGGTAGCCGGAAGCAGGATGGCAGAGGTGGCGTTGCCGTCAGCAGCTTCGGCACTGAGGTGGGTAGGGCAGGGTGCAGCCCAGTGCTGCAAGCCGTTTCCGGCGCCGTAACATGCCTCCTGTCGCTAAACTCAGGCGGGAGCTGGATTTCGTCAAGTCACTGTTAAAATCGGCGCGCAATATTGATGAAATGGTAGCCGCGGCAAACGCTGCGGCCAGAGTGGCGGCGCGGGCTGCTGAAGAAACCAAGCACAAAGTTCAGAAAGGCGTAAGTTGTAGACCGCTGACAAAGGATGTCATTTGCTTTGTTTCCTAACCTCTGAAAACAATTAATCTGAAACAAATCTTACACACTAGAACCCTGAAACGAAACCAGCAACGAACAATTCAAACGGCATTGCACCCACGAACGAGCCTATGAGTTCCTGCTACGCCTACACACAGGCTTGCGTGCACTTGCACCCTGCACGGTGGCGTATGGGTTGCGCCTTTGCCTTTTCTGTTTCTGGTGCGATATTCCGCACGGCGTGGCGATAAACCTGTTATACCATGGCAGTCATTGTGCAGTCAGAGGCACACCCTGTCTTCCGTTGTAAATCTCTTTGTTATAATCTTGCGGGATTGACTTGTGGGCAGTAGAATGGCCATCCCTGATTACGGCACACAGGGGTATGCGGTAGATGTGTGTATGTATGTATGTATGTATGTATGTATGTATTATGTGTGTATATGTATGTATGACTTCGATTACACTGTGGGCCACGAAAGCCGGGGGCTGAAGTCGAAACACAGCGCAAGGGTCGGGAGCCCACGGCACCAGTCGGCTAGTTTGTATGTACGTATGCATGTTTGTGTTGTGTGCTTGGGGGTTAAGGACGGCCTTGCCCCTCACTGGTCCCTTTCCCTCCTCCCCTTGCAAAGGCCGCTCGCGGTTGGGCCTTATGAGGCCTCTTGCGCCACATGTAGGCACCTTCCTCCTCTCTTCTTTTCCTCTCTCTCTCTCTCTCTCTCTCTCTCTCTCTCACACACACACACATACACATACACATACACACCTCTCCGCCCTCATCCCCCCTCCTGTTCCCCCTCCGTTTCACGTGTTTGTTTGCATGCATGATTTATATATATATATATATATATATAGCTACGTTATTTGTCAATAATTTGTTAATATATATATATATATATATATATATATATATATATATAATAACTAATATATATAATATATTAACAAATAATGTAGCTCTTCCCCTTTAGGGGAACCCCTAAATACACAGCACACGACATCCCCCCCGCAACTGTTTGTGACAGTCAGCAGCAGTTTTCTTTGCCGCCCACACTTCCCCCCACTCAAACCAAGTACACCCACCTATCCCATGCATCCATTTCTTTGATTCCACATCCCCCTCCTCCTCGCGGTCTCCCCCCCGCCCCCACGCCGGCCAGGCTACTGAGCTCACAGTCCGCGGCCTCCCCGCGGGGGCTGACTGGGACTGGCGCTCTTTCAAACGCTGGATTCAGAGCGTGGGCATGGCGCAGCGGTCCATCAACTACGTGGACAAGCACGCAGAGCTCGACGTGGGGGTGGTCACATTCGCTTCGGAGGCGGACTGCAGGTACGGGACTGGGGGGGTGTAAGGAGTGGGGGGTTTAGGAGGGGGGTTAAATGAAGGTTAAGGAACGGGGGGGATAAGGAACGGGGGGTTTAAAAAGGGGAGGGGGGAAAGGGAGGGATCACCGATAGAAAAAAAGGGACAGGGCATTACGCGGTGTAAAAATCAAAAGGGCACAACTTCTGTCCAACGACGTCCGAAGCACCCAGCTGCCGAAGGAGTTCTAAGCCGGTGGAAAGGAAGTTGTTGGGGGTGATGGGAAGGGGTTCGTGTATGTGTGTGTGGTGTGTGTTCGTGAGTGATATGTGGGGGGGGGAGGATGAGCCGTGAGGATGCACTTGGGAATGAGCGGGTGATGGAGTGTATGTGTCTCTCCGCTGCCGGGCCCCCCCCCCGCCCCTTACGCTTTTTACGTTTGGTACACTTTTGCCCGGGCAGCAGCTTCATTCGTTCGGGGTTAGTTTTTCCCCCGCCCCCCCCCCCCCGGCAGTTTGGCAGCCGACCTGCTCGCCACGTGTGAGCCCCCCGAGGGCTGCTCCGGAACCATCGTGGTGGCGCGGGGACTTGCACCCGAATATGCGAGCCGGGTAGGGGATGGAGGGGTGTTGGAGGGGGAAATGGGCGGTAGGGGGGAGGTGTGAGGGTGCGGGTGAGCTGGGGGGGTAGAAGGGGTCGGAGCGGGCAGGGAGAGTGTACGGGCGGCTGCTGTGGGTGGTTTGCCGTACTGCTTTGCTTCCGAGCTGCCAGATC